TTCCTGGTAACGGTGGAGGTGCCAGAGTGGAGAAGGATCATAGTAGTGTGCTCCTGCACCCTATCAGGACATGTCTACACTACCAATGTTAGATATTGGGTAATTGACTAGTCGTGTAACTGTACAAAAACCTATTGTCGGTTACATGATAATTCAATAGTCCTTGGGGGGCAGGGCTGGAAGCCAGTGTGCTACCAGCCCCACTCCTGTGGAGCCCCCTGCCATGCTGCTGCTGTATCAAAAGCAGCAACATGGGGTGGGGGGGGGGGGGGGGGGGGGTGGGGAGAGAGAGAGAGAGAGAGAGAGAGAGAGATATCTGAACCCTCCACAATAGAGGCAGCAGCGATGGGGGGAGGGGGGGGCGGCACTGCAGAGCCAGTGCTGAGGGAAAACCTGCTTTTAGTTGGCTCTCCCCACCATGGAGGCCTGGGGGAGGTGGGCAAGTGGGTCAGCAGAGCCAATACATGCAGGGAGCTGTCTTGAAAGTTGGCTCCCCGCTTGGATTTGCTCCAGCCTACCCCCTCACCTTGCATGCTATTGCCTCTATCAGAAGCAGCAGTGTGAGGGGAGGTAAATTCAGTGCAAATTAAGCTAGCTCCTCACAGGTACAGGCTCCTGCTCTCCCCCTTCCCCCCCATACAGAAGCAAGGGAAATGAGTGCAGTCAACCAGACTCACCAATAGGCCTAGTTTTATAGGTTAATCGTATTGCTGACTTCCCACTGACAGCCTTAGTCTATACTCACCCAGATGTTCGACTAAGCCAATTGTTAAACGCTGGAGTTAACAGACCTTAATTCCATCTTGCCCCCCGGCTTCACAGCGGGAGGCCGACCCGAGCAGGGGCTCCTGTTGATTTCCCTTACTCCTCAGAACTAGGTGCCAGTGTCGTCGATGGGGGCGCCATCCACACTCAATGGGGGGGTGTCTAGAGCCACTAACCCGGACCCCTGACAACGGGCCGCCGCGCTGACCTTCTGGCTAGTCCAGACACGGCCACAGACTCGGGCGCTGCAGCTGGATGCGGGGCGCCCAGAGCCCGGGCTGGACACCAGGGCGCTGTGGAGTCAGCCCCTCGCCCCGCTCACCTGCTCCGCCAGGCCGACACCCGGTCCAGCGCGTCCCGCTGCAGCCGGCAGTCCCCGCAGTACAGCCCCACCATCACCTGGTCCCACTCGGCCTTGCTCCGCCAGGCCACCACGTTCCGCCGCGGCGGGCGCTTGGCGGGCCCCGCGCGAGCCCCGCTCCCCGCCATGTCTCGCGCCCGGAGACCACCCACTGGCCTCGAAAGCGCTGAGCCAATCGAAGCCGAGATAGCAGGGAGCGCCCGCCTCTTCCGCTGAGCACGAGGGGACAGGAAGCGGGGCCAGGCTGAGGGAGTCTGTTCGCGCGTGCTCCGTAGTAGTCCGCCGGGCGGCGTCTCCTAGCAACCCAGTAGGTAAGCGCCTGCTGGGAGACCGAGCGCTGCTTGAGCTAGCGCCCCGCCCTATCCGGCCTCGTGTTCTCCCCTGCCGAGAAGCGAGTTCGGCAGCGCCTCCCCGCCCCTTACAGTCTGGGATTCCCCCTTCCCTCCCCAGCTGGGAGGGGTTTCCTCCCCCTGCTAGGGATGTCAAAGTGCAGTCAATTACCCCATAAGCACAAGCTCGCAGGTGAATGCTGCAGACTCCACGCAGCCCCTCTCCCCGTTGCCAGTCCATTTCTTAGCAGGCTGGCCACCAGCCCCATTCAGTTCTGGCTCAGGTTGGGTCCAGGGGCCTCCCCCTGCTGTGGCTCTGCATTTAAAGTGGTGAGGCAGCCCAGCTCACTTCCAGCTTGTGCCAGCTAGACATGGTTAGGGTTGCCAGGGGTCTGGTTTTGAACCCGACAGTCCAGTATTTGAGCTTTCTGTTCGGGGAAACAAATTGAGGAAAATATAAATGTCCGGTATTTTCTAAAGAAGATGTAATGTCGATTGTGATGTAATGTTAAGTGTGTCTGGTATTTTTGCTGAAACCATCTGACAACCCTAGACAGGGCTGCTGCCACCCTGCATTGCTGCCTGTTTATCAGAGGCAGCAGTACAGGGCGACAAGCAGCCAGTCCACAAGGGGAGCTAGTTTTTAAACTGGCTCCCCTCAGACCAGCACCTGCCTGGCACCCTATGCTGCTGCTGCTTCTGATACAGTGTCAGCAGCATGGAGTGGCAAGGGTCTTCTCAGGAGTGAGGCCGGAGCACACTGGCTTCTGCCCCCACCCCCAGGGACTATAGAATAGTTGACTAATTGATAAGAATTCACAAGGTTACTTGACTAATCAATTAACTGATATTTAACAGCCTTACCCCCCTGCATCCTGGTCTCTCCCCCTCCCCCCCTTAGCGCTGCTGTCTCCTTGGTCCTCTCGTCACCTGTCTTCCTTCATGCTCCTCTGCTATATAATTCTTGTATCTTGCCAGTGGTGCTGTAGGGTCTGCCAGGAGCTTGCGGTGGTCCTTTTTCAGTGATCTTATGACTTAGCAAATGTATCTTTCCTAGGCTGTTGGAAAACACCTCTTTATATTTTTGCAGCACTGACAACACTTCTTCCCTGTCAACCAATGTTAACTCACTGCCGATGTCAACGCTTTCCAGAGTTGAGACATTTTGTCATTCAGACATTAAATCAATGAGGTGATGTTGATACCAAAGAAATTCCATGTTGGGCTTGCTAGATTCTCTTTTATATCCCTGGCCTCCATTTTAAATAAACAAGAGTCATTTGACCACTAGAAACTACAGATCACGTAGCACTGGGAGGAAAACCAAATTGGTGAGGGAAGGGATGGCAACCGCCTCACTGAGGGGGGAAAAAACAGTTTCATGCTAAAAACAGAATTGATAGTTTGGAATGTTGATATTCATCTAAAAAGATCTATCAGAAAGACCTGCTAATAAGCAGAAGAGTCTAGAAAGTTCTGATAAAATGGTTTAAAGGTCAGTGGGCAGCAAGCAAACAGAAAGAAAACAGGATTTGGATTCTGTTAAAATGAATTGAGAGACTGCTAAGGTGAAAGGAGGAAAAAGAACAGCAGAGGGAGCCCTGTCACTGGAGCAGAAGAAGAGAGCACTCAGGAAAAAACATGCAGTTTAGTCAGTAAGCAGAGAAATATGTCACATATAAAGTTATAGTTGTAGTACAGTGATAGGTTAACCTGTAAGAGAAATGTATACTGTATGTATAAAGTTTAAAGTACATATAAGAATTATGGTCAGCATTGAATTGGCAATCTGTAACAGGGTGCAACTAGTTAGAACAGGGGTGGGCAATAATTTTTGGTGGGGGGGGCCACTCCAAGATTTTGGAAAGTGGTCAAGGGCCACACTTTTCTGTGAAGGAGGTGCAGGGTCTACGATAGAGGTTGGATGCTGAAGGGTGCATGGGGTGTAGGAAAGAGCGTGAGGCTGAGAGGGTGTTTGGGTTAAGGAGGGGGTTGTGACCTGGTACAGGATCTGGGAGGGGGTATGAGCTGAGAGGATTCTGGCTTGGTGGTAAAGGATGTGGGTGGGAGTTGTGACCTGGGATGGGGGGGGGGGGGGGAAGGGTTTTGGGGGGGGGGGAAGGACAGAGGTGCCAGAGGCAGGCTCTGGATAGGAGGCACTTACTTAACTGTCTCCCGGGCAGCTGCCCTGCAGCACTCAAAGATAGGCTGGGCACCATGCCTGCTGCAGCCCCAGATTGGGTAAAACTGCAGCCTGCTCCCTCCATGTGGCTCTCAGCTTCGGGGGAAGGCTTTGTGCTGTCCCTGTCCCCCAGGCCAATCTCTCAGCTTCTGTTTGTTGTTTTCAGCTAATAGGAGCTGAGAGCTTGGCTGGGTCTCTTCATACTGGCCAGTTGTTTCCAGACAATAGGAGCTGAGGATTGGGCTGGTGGCAGGGAGATCACATGAAGCCTTCCCATCCTCCAGAGCAGAGAGCCACATGGCTGCTGCGTGCCTGAGGGTCTCGGCAGGGTGGTCCGTGGGCTGGATCTGGTGGCTTGGTGGGCTGGATGTGCCTCTCAAGATGTCTTGTGCACCCCTGAATTAGAATAATCTCATCTATCTATTACTGCAGTTTGGATGTTCTTTAACTTGTTGCAAGGAATTTGTGCTTTTAAAAGATCATTGTATTGAGAATTGTTATTTGCATCAATAAAAATATTTCTTGTTTTGGAAGGAATACTTCTTGTTCAATCATTTATTTATCAGAAGGCTGTAGCCATGTCCTCCAAGTATGTTCCTAGCCACCCCAGAGACCTATACCTAAGCAATCAGTTCTTGTTACATTCTGGGAACCCCAAAAGAATTTTATGATAACAGTGTGCCTCAATTTTTCCGTGTACACAGCAGATCAAGTTTACTATGGCCTGCTTGCTATGATAGACTTTAAGTTAATTTATTTTATTCATTGGCGTGAAAAGCACTATGACTCTTGGGCATGCACTGCAACACTCAGAATAGCAAAATGGTGGTGGCTGGCCAGAGGGGAGCAGACAGATAGAATCATAGAACACTAGAACTGGAAGGGACCTCAAGCGGTCATCGAGTCCAGTCCAAACCTGTCATGGGGTTAGTTGTGAGAGGCAACAGCTAGTCTTAAATGAATTATTCTTACCCATGTTTACACTAACGTTGTCTGTAGAAAACCCAACATAGTTATCCCACGCCTCATGTGAAGTCATTCTCTTATCAGTTTTAAAAAAAGATTTCTCTTGCAGTGGCGCAAAAGTCAAGTAACTGTTGTCACTAGATGTTTCTGGCTATCAAAAATCCTCACTGTCTGTGGATTCATTTTTTCTAAGCCTCTGTCATTAGAGGAATCAACAGAAAAAGGCTTCAGTCTTCATTTGTCTCACAAGACACTCTTGGAAAAAGGGAGCAAAGGCACTATTGAGTATACACATTGACTTGATTCTTACAGATGCATAATATTGGGCAGTTTGGCTGTCGGGGAAGATATCTTTAAACAGGGGCTGCAGGTGGTCTGCACTCACAACAGGACTATTGTGCTGCTGTGAAAGCAAAGTTGTAACTTTCACTTCTGCATGTGTCAACTGAGGGTAAAACCAACATTTTTTATACACTGTGTTGAATATTTTATCAAAGCTAAATATAAAAATGGGAAATTAATAGACAATAAAACATCTTGAAACAGTATAACCAGATTTTCACAAGCACTTATGTTAATGATACAAATAGTGAGTGGATTTTTTATGTGATAAGAACTGCAAGTTTGTGTCTGTATATGTAGCATACTGTATTTTAATAATCCTGTTACCGTGGATGAAGGCATCAGCTTTCTTAATTTCTACTCAACACTCAGTAGGACACATTGAAAACTACAGAGCTGGGTTGGTAGCTAAGGGTCTGGCAACTCCCCAGGAGAGTCTGGAGGCAGGCCACACAGGGGCCAGAATTGACTTCCCCTGCTCTGGAAAACTGACTGATCTTGAGGGTGCCAGACCACAGAGGTCCAACTGTAATAACATTGAAACTTCAAGGACAAGATCATTGAGCATCCTAACCAGCACTATCAAGGCAACAACATTCTACCCCCACCCCCAAGCACTTAGCCACAAAGGTCTGCTGAAGCAGCTGTCAGTGCAGAGCTGGATGGCACACTGTAAGAACACACACACGTGTCAACTGACAACAAGGGTGACCCTAACTCTTGATCTGGAAAGTGGCAAACTGTCCTCTGTAGGAATCATGATCTAATGTGGTAGAAAACCTTGATCTCCTGTGAGGTAGGGATAGGATCTTGTTTACAAATAAAGTGGAAACTGAGAGGTTCATTGATTTGCCAAAGCTGCTCAATGGCAGAATTAGCAACAGAACCTAGGCGAAGTCCCTGTCAAGTGTTCCTAGAATCAGTGCTGCCCTTGGGGGAATCTTCCTGTGTCACCCTTCAGCTGTATCCGCTGGGAATTCTCTGCCATGAAGAGCACTTACCCCTTCTCAAGGAAGGCAAGCTGTGATTCATTTTCTCTGCATTCACTTAAACTTCCCCTTTTCTAACTCACAAGGAGTGTGAGCAGGTGCTATTCCTGCCCTTTTCCAAACAGTCTACACATGATATAAAAGCGCAGTCTTACTCCCTTCTTGGGCTTTGGCTTTATTACAAATGCAAACTGTAATAAAACAGAATTCTTACCTCAAGCTTCCTCCCCAGTCTTGCTTGTTCCTAGAGTTTCCTGCAGCGCCTCCCACTCTCTGCTTCTAATTTCCTATTATCAACAGGTCATGCCCAAATCTCTTACCCTACTGGGTGAGGCCAACAGACTCGCTGGGGCCCTGGAC